GATTTCCTCCGCTTTATTGCAATGGACTTGTTCGCACTGATGTCACACTCGTGCTGCTCCAATCGTCAAGCCCAACACAACGTCCTTGCCCTTGCCTGCTGCTGTACAAGGGAACCAATTGGTACACTTCCGTATGGCACTGACAAGCAACCCGAAACGCATTAGAGACAGGCTGCCACTAAACAGTCTACCTGCACGAGCACCACTTTGCAGCTTGACGTTTGGTATGCGTAGATTGTTCTTATCGGTCTCTGCAGCAGTCACCCTTTGTGGGGACTACCGCAGCTTAAAAGCTGCTGCACGGTTCTTGACGCCATTTTACAAATGCTTGAAATGAATGTTGAACTTGTTCTTGTAGGGAAACTGAAACTGCTACATGTACAATGCCACGCATCAATGCTGCTGCAGATCGTGCACGCTCTCTAAAACGGGCCGCAACAGAGAAGACTCCGCCGTGGCGTGCGTTGAAGGGACTAGAAGGCAGAACAGAATATACAGTACCTCTCTCTGGCTAGCCCATTGCACTCAGCATAACTCCCCTACTGCCCTCAAAACTCTTGGGGGATTGAAATATAATAAAAGCATGACAGCATGACGCACAAAGGCCCCGCAGCGGTGATGTAGCGTACGTCGATAGTGCTCGGGGACCTCCTCAGTCAGAAATAGCAGCTAACCCATGCCTGATTCGTTTCTCACCTGCTTTGTTGAGCGGGCGTCTCCCCTTGCAGCTCTGTGGTCACCGTCATCGCCGGCACCCCCCGCCGCAAGCGCGCGGAGGTTCTCCTCCTACTCCAACCCTCAACATCCCTCAACGAGGGTTGCTGCTGGGATCGTGATCCCGTAGCAGCGCTGCTTCCGGACGGCGCGGAAACTACGAAACCGGCAGCAGGCGTGGTCGGGGCGCCTGGTCGACGGGAGCGCGACGACGAGGTGGCTCTCGCGGGCCCCAAGAGCAGGAGACAGGCCAGCACGCCGCATGTTCGTGATCTCTGCCGTTTGCGCATCTCGAGCAACAAGCGATTGCTCCTCGTTGCCTGCTGCTACAATATACCAGCTGCCGTGCTGGTGCTGCTCGTCGACACCGGCCTCCGGCCTCGTCCGCTGCTTCAGTAAACTCCTAGCGTGCGTCAGTCTCGATCAACACCACCCACAGCAATGGCCGGTACCCTCAAGTTAACCTTCCCTCGGGTAGCTAGATTTTCGTGTATGGAGCGTCAGCTGTCGCCGCTGATGCAGCTCAATGATGCTGAACAAGTCGTCGGGCGGGCGAATCAGCTGAACGAATCAGGGGATATGCGATATCTGCCCCTGGGTTTCCAGCCAGAATTTTGGTTCACGTCTGCATGTCACTTCATCGACGGTTTCACGATTACTGCTGTAATTCCCATTATCCACCCTCCTCCTCACGTTTGATTGTATCCTTCTGTGATTGCACCTTTGCCTAATTTCTACGCGTATCAATCCTTCGAACGTAGTAGTTGCGACGTCGCTTGTAGTAGTAGTACTACTGCTGTACTTGGCTTACACAACCTTTATGATTGATTCAGGATGTACTCGTGTGAGCTCCCTCGAAACTCGAAACGCTTGCGTCTGATTCAGGCATAATGTGAGTGCCTGGACACTTGATGTACCAGGTGCATGCTGTAGATGAAAAATGAAGTGCTGTGATCGCACCGCATGGCGCCGATCAGACCGCCTGATCGACAGCATAACGATATTTTCCATTCGCCTTCACCTTCACGTTTGTGCATCCCTGCTGTTGTAGTGACAGCGGAAGCATGCCGCATTGGTTTCCTTCCTTCCTTCCTTCCTTCCTTCCTTCATTCGGCCGAAACCTCGACCCCAAACGCCGTCCCTTTGCCCGAGGTCGAGCGGGGTATGGGGAACCTCTCCACATCGACCGATTATAGTCGGGGAATAATGATAGTTGGCAACAATGTCGTGGCAATCTATCCCGAAGGACGCAAAAGCAAGCACAAACTTGTGGATTTCTCCTTTCTTAACTTGTCTTGACTACAACAAAAAAAAACTTTCTGTCCGCCGATAGACGAGCGTCTGGCAACTTGAGTCCAGGATAAATGATTCTACTCCCGAGCGCTTTGAGGAGCTACCTCGCAATCAACACGAAAACGGCCCATCCCCGGCATTCAATATCGAAAAAGAGACAACGCAAGAGCTGCTTGCCCGACTTCTTCGGGAGAGCCCCCTGATGAAAGCACAGCCACGCGACCGCCGTCAAGTTATTCGATACTACTCGACACTCGGCACTTGACACACACACACAGCTTCTTTCCTTGTTCTCTCGCCCTCCTCCTCGTTTACAGCTGCTCTGCTGCTGCACAAGCTCTGCCTCGCGGGTACAAGTCGCGCCACTGGAAACCTTTACATCAAACTTACAACGGTCCTATTTTATTGCGCTGTTGGAGCCTGACACATACACAACAGACGACACATCTTCTTGCTCGACGAGCGAGCCTCTCTCTTCAGCTGCGGTCGAGTTGCAGCATCAACTGTCCATGAGGACACGTCCCGCCATGACCAGCAGCGCCGCGCTGACATAAGGGCTTAATCGCTCTCCCACCCGGGCCGCTTTCCAGCACAACCCTGCGGTCGCCAATGCAAGAAGGAGAACGACCGGCACAACCAAAGAGGGTCGAACGGTGCAAACCTTTACCGCGCAAATACAGTCATAATATATCGTTAAGTGCTGTGCTTCACCCTCGCCGTAGCTCCTATTGTATGCATAGAGCCGTTTCTTGGAAGCGTGAGACATATCAACGGACGATAGCACGGTTGGTGGTTTCAAAGCATGAAATGCCAGCCTCCACCGTGCACCTGTAAATTGCTGAACCTTCTTCTGAACACTACCGGGAAAGTTCCTGCACAAGCCACGGCTATTTCCTCAGCATCGTGCCGTGCGGCACGTCACCGTGTATGCAAGGTACTGTACTGTATTCATACCATCAACCGACACGGCGGCGGTGCCCCAGTAACCACACGAACCTACCTCATGACATGATTCTTGACGCCTCATTCAATATCACCCGCGTGTCCCATCATATCAACCCCGCAATAGAAAACGCAGCGGTACACCATTATATGGTGCAATTGATGGGGAAGGGCAAGGGGTTGGCCGATCCAGGCCGTGGCATGTCACGTGGACGCATGTGTTACGTCGTGCGTTCCTGAGAGCAGTGGCCAAACATTTGTCTGGCACGAATGAAGTACACAGCGTATTTTCTGCATCAAGATGGTAGATGGTAGGACCACGACTGGAAGAATGAAGCAGTTGACAACCTCTTTGCAGAGCACAAAGAGGCCCTCTTACGGCCAACTCCTGTGTCAGCCCTGACCAGCAGCATGCGCTTGCACCGGATTGCTATTGCTGACAAAACACGGAAACACGAAGTCCCGGATGCATGCATGGAACCGGCAAAGCCGACACTGAGCTGGTGCAGCAGTGCAGCACACCGTGTGGTGCCTGCGAGAATCGGCCTTGGTGCAACATAACGCTGATCGTGCACGTGGAAGGGGACACGGGTGTTGTATAATAGCAACTCACTCACCTCGCAGGCCACTGTGTGAACCATCCTCGACATCAAATATTCCCTTTCGGTACCCCCTGACGTACGTGCAGACGCATATCAACAGCAAAATGACCGTCAGGAGGTCGGGCATGCTAAAGAGCGCCGACTGCACCAAGGGAGGAGGGGAGGGGAGGGGAGCGTAGGGAAGCGGAAGCACACGCGTAATCAGTACAAGTAGGGGGTGGCCGTACGTTCATTAGCACCTGCGGCGGCGGCTAAAGGGGCAAAGATCAGGATCGCCATTAGCAAAGGAACATGCCGTTGTGTGTGCTTTTGATGTTTTTTGGTCCCATCTATTCTGATGCCAAGGCTTCACCTTTCGGCATGTGTTTGACTTACAGCAGTATCTGTCGGGGTCAACAAATGTAATAGGGAAGGGAACACCAGATATTTACGTTGTACGTTCCTTCTATTGTCCCACCTCTCCCCCTGCCGTGCTCGCCTTTCAAGTGTTACGGTCCCTGATTCTGTATTGGTTACGGTCCCTGTGCACTCACGTACGTAAGAGTGACTCATGAATTAATCGCTCTAGAGTAAGTTAGCCTGTGACCTTGTGTGACCACGGGAATCGATCGCGTCATGCTGTAGATACAGAACAGCTGCCGGTTTCTTGGGCAGAGAGATCGGAACGGTAAATGTGAAGACAAGAACAACGACCGCAAGAGAGTGCAGAGCGTTCACCCCGGATAGAGATCAGAAGCCACAACCTGCCCCTTTTGGCCGGGGCGATCGAATTTGTGTGCAACATGCCAACTACCAACCGCAAGATTGCAGAAATTGCCAACAGCCATCCGCCTAAGCGCGTGTAAGAAGAAAATGCGGCGTAATGGCAGAGTTGGTTGCGGACGAAAACTAGCAGGCAACATATCGTACATTCCCAGGCCTTCAGCACGACTAGGGTCGGCCAGCACTGCGATGGAAATAATCAGGTGTTCATCGAAAACATGAGAGGGAGGTGTGGCTGCACGTCGGTCTACAGAAGTTACACTTTTGTAGCACACGCAACACGGCAGCGAAGGTGGGTCTTGAGTTGGTCCAAAAGAAGTGCCAGCAATAGAGGCAGCGACTTCCAACACAACGCAAGATCATGGTCATCACGGCTCACCATGGCTGATCAGCCCAGTGGCGCAGGGGAGCACGCCCACGTTCCCTCTTGCTCTGCTATGTATCGCCTGCCTGCCGCCCGTGGCCGATGCTAGGATGGTGAGCTTGTTTGGTAGCTTGCTGCACCAGGCAGCAGGTGCTGTCCGCAGGAGGGGGTGGGGCGGGATGGGGGGTTCCGCCAAGTACAAAATCGCCCCACGTCCACCGCAGCGCCCACACCGCACACAAAGCACACAAGACACCCGGAGACGCAACGTCCTGATGCTCACGACTAGCCGCAGTGGAACACGACTAGCTATCTTCGTGGTGGCCACCACCTCACTTGCTGCCGCTGCTGCTGCTGCTGCTGCCGTGGTGAGACCCTTGTTGTGCTCGTCTGAGTTACGCCGCACTTTCGATCATGCACGTGTATTTGAATCTTCTGCTCTTCTCAGTCAACGGCGCACTTCCGACAGAGATCACATCAATCGTGGACTCACGAAACTACCACCACCGCCTCAAACCCACAGGTGGCACAAAAACGCCCGAGGTCCAATGCAGCTCGTCAACGAACCAGGGTGGATTGTGCATGCTGGCGATGGCTGAAGAGGTGTTTCGGGAGCTTGTCCCTGGCGATACAACCTCGTCGGCCAGTGGGGGGCTACGAAGGCCTGATTGGCAATACGCCAATGGTACAGCTCCAGAGTCTCTCTGCCGCTACCGGCTGCGAGGTTCTTGTGAAGGTAAATTCCTTGTTCGCCTGGTTGCGCCATAGACATGGTGGAATATGTGCCGTAGTACCTTGGATGCCAGAGCAACATGGTAAGCTCACTGCTTCGTCTCTCTATTTTCATAACTCAGCCTGCACGCCGGATACGGGTACGCCTACGAACCCGCAGGTGGAGTATCTCAACCCCGGCGGAACAAGCAAGGACAGAATCGCGGCGAGCATGATCAAGGAGGCCGAAGCAACCGGGGAGCTGAAACAGGGGGGCACCGTGGTGGAAGGCACGTCTGGGAGCACGGGAATTTGCCTCGCTTCGCTGTGCAGGGCCAAAGGCTACCGCTGCGTCATCGTAATGCCTGACGATCAGGTGAGGAATGAGGAGCAGCATGAAAGGGAACTCCGCAAGAGCGCGGCCTGAAGCATATGCATATCTTACACGCTCGTCGGCGTCTCATTTCTTCCTAGCACAAACAGGTTTGTATCGCTGGTTGACGTCCTAGAGTACCGCGCGGCCTTCAACTGTAGTTTTCAAGAATTGTTTTATTTTTGTTAGAATGGACGGCACCCACTCAGGAACGTTGTCCCAAAAGAGTAGGCGTGTGCCCCAAGCCTTGTGCTTGATGCAATATGGAGGCCGTTGAAAGTATGGAAGCCGTATGTGCATGGGCGTCGATTTTCGTGCCCTGGCCTACCGTCATCGCCGGTACGCTGTTCTTGATTACTGCCAGCTGCCAGCTGCCGTTGTTCACTTGGCCCCTACCGACGTGCGTACATACCCCACCATTTTCTACTCTGCGTACCCCCCTCAAGGCTGGTGAGAAGGTGGAGCTATTGCGCACCTTCGGTGCTGAGGTGATCCAGGTGAGAACAGCATCCATCGCCAACCCCGACCACTACATCAACGTCGCCGCACGCTTGGCCCGGGAACGGCCTGGCTACGTGTTTATGGACCAGTTCGAGACGGAGGCTAACCTCAAGGCGCATCTAGCTCACACCGGGCCGGAGATTTGGGAGCAGACCAATGGGAGGTGAGAGAGCGGTTCGGATAGCCCGAGATTCTGTGCCTATGCAACCTCAAATATGGATGTTCTGTGGTCTTGTGTTTTCATAGCTGTGTTGGGTTGATCTTGAGCGCAAGCTCTATCTCTTGTCGGGAAGAACGAGTGATTGACGTTTGGTGTATGGCCTTGTTTCTCGCTTTTGCACACGGTAGGACCGCCCGATTTCGTCGGAGAGTCTTTACATGAGTATACTGTACATGGCGTCGACTGTAAGCGATTTACCTTATCCTCATGCATGCGCCGTTCTGGTCGTGCGCACCTGTTTGCGGCAGAACGACGCTCATGACAACACCCCCCCCTTACTGGGTCCGTCCGCGTGCACTGCTGTTGGTCTCGCTTTACAAGACCCCCCCCCCCCCATCTTTCGGCTAGCTTGAGTCAATATATCACGTGCTGTCTGCGCGTTCTCAGGTTGGATGCTTTCGTCATGGGGGCTGGGACAGGAGGCTGCCTCGCCGGAGTTTCTCTATTTCTGCGTGGCAAAGGATGCCCAGCCAAGGTTTACCTGGTTGACCCGCCCGGATCAGCGCTTTTTAACCGTGTGCGACACGGCGTGTGCTATTCGCCACAGATGTCGGAGCGGGACGTCAGAAAACACAGGTGCGACCACCGGACTAGGTTGCTGGTCCTGTGACCGTGTGAGGGAACATGATGTTTTCAAGTAAAGGATCGATTGGACCAGCGAGGATTGATTTGTGCGTCATACCGTATGCTTCGTTTCCGACACGACAGTTTCGCCGCAACAGAATTGAGAGCAGCATGGAAGGTCGTTCTAGAGTAGGTGTAGTTAACGATTACATGCAGCAGGCCTAGAATTGACTGCCACTCATGCGGTGGCAAAATCTGGAACTAGGCGAGCGCTCTTTGTTGCCCGACTGCTGTTGCTTCGATGCACTTGTGTACTACTGGTTGAGACAGGGACTGCCGAGGGGAATATCGCAAGAACTTCGAAGACGATATTTCGATGCTCGACATTTTTCAAAGAAAAAACGCTTTTGCAGTAGCGCAGGGTTAGTGATTCCTTGGACTACACAGTCGATGCAATCAGTGTCGATGTGATAACGTCGCCTACATGTGTGTGGCATTCTGCGTATATCGTGTGACTTTCTGCGTCTAACGCGTGACAGGTACGACACGATCGCAGAGGGCATAGGCAATGACCACGTCACGGGCAACTTCGGAAAGGCCATCTTGGACGACGCCTTCAGGGTTTCCGACCAGGAGGCGGTGTATATGGCGCACTATCTCCTCAAACACGAAGGCGAGTCGCAACGACCCTACCGGACTCGCAAGGTAGTCGCAAAAATCACGGAATATTTCCTGTAGGGTGCACGGAGCGGAACTACAATTTCTGTGCCTGTCCGAACTACTGACCGTGAAACTGGCCTCGTTGATGGTGATGTGTTTTGACATTTCATAACGTTCTGGCGTCAACACGGTACCTCTCCTTCCCGACTCTTGGAGGGGAAGACGCGACTGCCCGTAGTCTCAAGCTAACTCACCTGACTCCACAATGGTTGAAGTAGATGAAAACAAGGCCCAGACTAGTACCTGAGAGACAATCAAAATTCCCGTCGATATGACAGACGAAACAGGTCGAGGTAACTCTCATTTCATCCGCATCTACCAATACTGTAGACAAGGCTACCATGCATGTTGTATGGCATTTCTGCGGATGTTTCGTGATGTACATCGTTGGAAACGCCTATTGGTTGAAAAGCTTCGACTTCTCTAACGGTAGTCCATATGAACAAACCGCCGGACCTAAAGCCGTATGACCCGGTGGAGCTCATTCAAAACCATTTTCCATACGAAAAACACGCTAGTTCAAGCCAACCCTACTGTCGCCCCTCCACTGTCAAACAACATCTAGACAGAAGGACGTTTTATTGACCCCACCATGCACGATCGTGGACCACGTCCTTTACCCACAGCCTTACGGTCACTGTGAACGATGTTCATGGCGGGTCATTCCAGTAGTAGAGGTGGCCTAGCCTCGCCTTGAAGCTAATTTTAGCGGTCCTCCTACCTGCCCTCAAGCGACCGCACAACGGCAGCACGTACATATACACCAGCCATTTTGGTGTCCCTTGCTGATGATGTGACGATGCGACAATCGTCTTGATTCATGTTGCGGGCGTTTGGTGAGCAGGTTTATTCGTCGGGTGCTCCGCGGCCATGAACTGCGTTGGGGCTGTCGCGGCAGCCAGGAGGGCCGGCACGGGGAAGAGAATCGTGACTGTGCTTTGCGACAGCGGTAGCAGGGGCATTTCCAGGCAAGCGCATTGGGCCACCAACAATAAGAAGAGAACAGGCATCGCCCATCTTTCGTTAGCCTCACATAGGCTTGGCTGGTGATCATCCAACTTCGTCGTTCTGCCCTGTAGAATAGAGACGGGCGAGTGCTAGATGTAGGTCGAAGAAGATATTTGTGAAGGCTACAACAACATTAACAACAAACGTATCGAGGCAGTAGAAGCTATGCTGCTTGCCACAGCCGTCTTGTGCCTTGGAGGGAAAGAGCAGGCGAGAGATCCCGTGGGACGCATTATGATGGGGGTAGTTTTGAATGTCTGGCAGATATTTGCTCGTCTTCATTCATGCTGAAACCCTTCATGCTGCCGTTCTCGCATAACTGACAGGTTCTGGAACAGGGAGTTCATTGAGGCCCGCGGGCTGAAATGGCCGTTGCCAAACGACGAGACGCTGGAGAACCTGGACTTCATAGAGATCAGACCTCGATAGTTTGCACGGATTTTGTCGCTGGTACAATCTTTTATGCAGAGGTCGGCCCTGCACCTACCCTCGACAGTGATGATGTTGGTCGCGTTGTAGTTTATTGCAAGAGAACAACCCCAACAGTTCGGTCGTGTTCATGCTGTACTGCCCACATGTGAAGTACTCCTAGTCAAGATGTCACGTGTGTGGACTTTCAGACGGTGGGCTAAGTAGTATTAATGAGTGGGTAAATCGTCAGAAGTTGCTGCTGGGTATTGTTCTCAATTGAGGCACCGTATTCAAGCGGGCGTTAGAGATGAGTGCTGCGTGCCTAGAGTAGATCGTTAAGTGAGGTGGACGATGTACAGATTTTGTTGGCTTTGTGCTAAAGGGTGAAGCTGTGTTGCTCGCCCTTCACCGTAGTCCAGCGCTAACTCAAGGGATCTGCTAGACGGCCCTATGTCCGGCACAGTGTATTTTGACAACAAAGGTGTTTGCGGTCTTTCTTACCCCAACACCCGATCGGTATGAAGACCGATGATGATCTCGATACGCTCAGCGGGAGGTCTCCAACTTCGAACCCCTTGGCGTCACCGCTGCTGTTATTTCTAGACCGCGTGCTAAACCACGCGCCGCTGCAACTCCTCGAAGACGCAGCGGGTGGTTCCCGTTGAATTATAGGGGTGATCCGTATATCCCTGGAGTACGCGGGCATACACTTTGCTTGTGAACGCAGAGAAACACGGACAATAATCACAGAGTCACGTGTCATTTAGTAGAGCATAACCCATGAACACGTCTTTTGCTTGTAAGCACAAGCCCTCCTGTTGTACAGTACAACAAGATGCGAGCGTTGCATTCCACAGGGTTCAAAAACGGCAACACTATGGGTTAGAGTTTGGGTACCAAAACTTCCTACCCATGTAGTCTATGCCAAAATGTTAGGTTGCGAATCCCCGTGACCTCACACATGAATCCCGTGCACACGTTACCGTCACCTCACGAAGGGCTTCGACGAGAACCCAACGAATACATTGGAGAAAAGCACTTCTGACTGGGAGTGCTCATCCTGTCACCCTCTTCATGCTTCCCTCGACAGGGCAAGCGCCTATTCACATCAGTTCAATGGCAGCATGTTGCAAAGTTGTATGCAGTGAAAAGTGTATTAACCCCACTGGAGGACCTACAGTGGTACATGCGTCCCGACATGTACTCAATGCGTGGATGACGGTAAATACAAGCCGGACGTTTCCGTCTCGTCACGGATCCTAAACGGAGAAAGATGGAAGTGGAATGCCAGGTACGTAAGTGCGTACGAGGTCTTCACACCAGGCCCAGTTGGTTGTGGTGCCACCGTAAACAACTACCAGTCAGTACCGATCAAGAGGGAAACGGCCTCCACCCCCCACCCCCATTATCCTCTTGTCTTCCTCCTCCCCCTCCTCTTCCTTCTCCTACTCTTCCTCCTTCTCCTCCTCCTCCCGTATTTTTTCACTTTGACCTTCAAAACACACGAAAGCGTGATGGATCGAATGGCTTCCTGGCACCATCAGGGCACTATGCGACAAAGGTCTGTTCAAGGTCGTGCGGTTCATGCTTCACGATGGGTTGTTGCTTGACCCGACACCCCCTACGAGGAACCGGTGCACGGAGGTCTCACGGGGACTCCTGAACGAGGCTCTGAGGGATAGTGATATATATGAGGCAGAAGGGAAGCAAGTGGAAGGGGATTCAAGGGAAAAGCTGCAGGGCCCTCGGAACCAAACTAAAGATTCAAAGGAGGGCATACGACACATCCAGGACGTATATTCGAAGGGGCGGCGGGATTGAGGGGCTAGGGTTTTTGTAATCCTCATCCATCAATCCCCCCCCGCCTCAGACGTACGGCCTAGATCTGCCTTACGAACTATTTCGAACCCTTGGTCCGAGTCCGAGACCTCTGCAGCTTCCTTTGCACCCTGTTTCACTTCCTTCTTTTTCGCCTCGTAGATCTCGTAGATCCTTACAGCGTCATTCAGGAGTCCCCTCAAGCCCTCAAGACCTCTGTACTCTACGGCCTCATGGCAGGGATTTGATCGAGCACGCCGAAGCATGCGCCACACGACCTTGAGCAACCCCTTGACGCTTAGTGCCCCGGTGGTGCCAGGAAGTCCGGGAAAATCCTTGACCCCGGCCGCACCCTGGGCGAACGGGAGGGGAGCCGGTCGGAATACGGGAGGGTGCGGGGGTTCTTTGGCAATTCATGTGTGCTTTGTTTTCGAGAGAGGAAACTGTGTCAGGTGGACAAAATGTCCTCTGTTGCTAGTTCTTGGCGCAGATCAGTAGCGTGGACGGGGGCTGGGCCTGTCGGTGTCATTGACAGTCGAAGGGCAGAGGCGACAAACGCTCGAAACTTGGCATCATGGTCTACCCACACAACGACGAAGGGTTGCACCCATCGACTCCAGACGACCATCCAGGCCAAGGCGACCAGGGACAACATCGCCGAAGCACCGCACCCGGCCATCGTGCGGGTGGGGGCAGCCCCCCACGAAGTTTATCGACGCCGGCAACACGGAGGCCATCCCGGGGAGGTTGGGGCAGTCATCCTCCCGCATGAGGCATGCAAGCTGATTGTATTGGTGAACTCTAGTGCGGCGGGCACGAGAGTCCATCATTTCCAACCTCTTGCCTGTGTGATGCGGAGGGATGGCTGCCCCATCGACCTCCCCGGCACGGCCTCCGCTTCAAACCGAGCACATGTTCTTATTAGCCAAGTTCTTATTTGGAGCAGGCATCCACCTATGATCAATGGGGTTCTTGTTCTTATTTCTATGTAAACCGATTGCCCTACGCAGAGGACACAGATCTTTCTGGGTGGATTTCATCACGAGACACTTCTGATGCAAGTGTACAATATAGTCGTACCATCCCCCCCTAGACGGCAGTACCGCATGTATGTATGTATGTGCGGCATGGGAGAGGACAGGTTGTCGAGAACAGCTTAGGAGGCGGAGTGGGCAAACAAGAAGAACGGGTATACCAATCTACGGAGTGGGTTAATGTTGTAGATGACTTATGAAAGGGGTTCGAAATTGACGCAGACGATACTCTTGAAACGCAAGGTCTAGAGGGTTCAAGGAGAAGATATCTGTTGCTTTTGCCGAGAGAGAAGAACGTAACCTAACCAAAGAAACCAAGGATAAGGAGGGTCTGCATGTGTACGGAATATTGAAAGAAGGAATAGATTTAAGGGGTACCTTCTTCATGGACCAATGGATGTAGAGACAAAGCTGAAAGTCAAATTAGGACTGGGGACATTGGCCTTCAAGAACGTAGACGAAGATTTGGGAACGTAGACAACGAAGCGAATGCGGCTCCGAGTGCGAAGACCATGTTCATGTATTAGTTGCGAAATGTCCGCTGTACAAGAAGGAAAGGGAAACGCACATAGATGAGCTGGGAAAAGTACGAGGAAAACGTACGAGACATGTTTGAGACATGGAATAGTCAGGAGAAAACGGTAGCTGTACTGGGGCATAGGAAATGGGTTGAAAAGGCGGGAACTGATATCGATAGGATAGATAGACTAAGGACAACATTTTTGAGCCACCCCTTTGGCAAAGTAGGATCGAACGATTGACCATCGGTGATCGGTCCTGTGAGAACAATGCTGCGTCCTGTGGAGGACGCGTGTTCAATGGTCTAGCCGCTAAGGCATCCAAAACATGAGAGAGAGAGAGTACGCCCCCCCTTCGGATCCAACTCCTACGATCGGGAAGAGGCGTAAGGGAGCTAAATGGCAAGACGTACCGTATGGTGTACGATATGGGAGAGGAGAGGTTGCCGAGAGAAGCTCGGGAGACGAAGAGGACAAACAGAAATAGGGGTAACAACCCAGGGAGTGGATAAGGTTGTAGATGACGTATGGAATAGTTCAAAATCGATAAAGTTGATACATTGGAAACGAACGGTAGGTCTATAGGGGTTCGAGAACAAGAAATCTGCTACTTTTGCCGAGAGAGAACACGATCAAACAAAAGGATCCAAGGATAAGGAGGGTCTAGATGTGTACGGACGTTGAACAAAGGAATAGATACCTACATGGACCACCAATGGAAGGGACAAAGCCGAAGGTCAAAATTAGGACTGGGGACAACGGCCTTTGAGAATGTTGACGAAGGTTCGGGAAGGAAGACAATGAAAGCGACAAGTTCAAATGTGCATGCGGCTCCGAGTGCGAAGACCGGGTTCATGTCGTTGCGAAACGTCCGTGTTGGGCGACAAGGGTAGAGAAATGTACATGACTGAGTTGGACACGTAGAGTGAAAGGCACAGGGATATGCTAGAGGCACGAAATAGCCAGGCGAAGACGGTAGCTGTACTGGGGCATGGCAAGTGGGTTGAAATGCGGGAAGTGGCCGAGATAGGTAGACTTCTGTAGGGAAGACATTATTGAGCCACCTTTGGCAAAGTACTTCGAAGTATATAGAAAGGAATGATTGGCCATCGGTGATCGGTCCTGTGGGCACAATTATGCGTCCTCTCGAGGACGTGTGGTCAATGGTCCCAACCTCTAAGACATGCGAAACATGAGAGAGAGTACGCCCTCCCCCTCCGCGCGTCAGGCGTAGGATCATTTTTTCACGAGGTCCTTTGCCCCCCCCCCGCCTCGAATCTGAATCAAAATACTGTTTGGGTCACCCCCAACCTTCCTGAGTTCTTATCTTGCAGCCGCCGCGTTTTGGGGCCCCGTTCTTATCTGTGTGCGCATTGGTACACCATAAGGGCGGGTTCCTGTTCTTAATACCACGTCGGAACTGAGGATATGTTCTTATGACCAAGTTCTTATTTTTTGGATCGTTTCAGGCTCAAGTTCTTAACTCGTAAGTGCGTGCGCGTTCTGTAGTTCGGGACTGGGGGGGTTGACCCGGTGAGTGCCTCCCGTGTTGCTCAGACGCCTTTGTTATTGCACCGCTTGCCACATACGTACAAGATTGTTGAAGGATATTTCTTGCAACCGCCTTCAAATGGGCTGTAGAAGCGGTTCCAACGGTCTACAAGTACAGCAAGTACAAAGTGCGGTCTAACTTGTCGGGAACAAATTGATCTGTTGATCTGACGAAAACATATTGTAACGGATTTTCCTCGCCAAACAGCACATGCCTGTGGAGTCAGAGTTGTGTCGATAAACCCTTTTAGACTATATATTCCAGCCAGCAAGAACATCACTAGATCGGAAAAGCTAGGGACAGCTGGGAGGCCTGGGAGCTGTGTGATTGTGTTGTTTTCGTGGGGCAGAAAAAGCCCCCCGGCCGAGGTGTCTACTCGATCCCCGATCCCCTGCAACTTGCTCACAACGCCATAGTCCGGCAGTCTGTTGAACTCCTCCGATTCCACGGAGCCGCCAGCACACCAACCAACCAGCCAACCTGCAACACACAACACACAACACCATTACCACAGCACGCGACTGCCACGGACACGTGCTTGCTACCCACGTGCACGGTCAGACAAGGGCTGGGTGATGAGGACCACCAACCGAGGGGATGTGCCTGCGCGCCATGTTCCTCCCAGCCAAGCCAAAGGTGTGGCGGAGGATGTCGATGATGTGGTATTCGACGCTGGCTCCCTGTCGTTTGTTCAAGACTGGGTGGTGGACGGAGGCGACACCAGCGCTGCCGCGGCTGCTGCTGCGGAGGTCGAGCCCAGGAGGGAGGACCCGCGAAAGACTAACCCTAATCGGAGATTGGGAGTGGGTGCCCAGCCAAAGAAGCCCAAGCAGGACCGGGTATGTCTCAGTTTCAGGTTTGGTTCCAAAATTATCGTCGTTTTTCCGATTCATCATCGTCGTTGGGATCACCAGACACATGTAGAGCGTAGCTTGTTCTGCACACGCAATCCGTCATCTTGTCTGTTCAAATCGAATGGGAATGATTCCTGTAGCACAAGTGTTGCTCCTTATAAACACACCTCGGTTGCTGTTTTTTTGCGGACAAAGACAGGTTTCCGCTACCCTCCGTGCTGCAGCCCATTTGATTTTTTTTGCTCGATCTTGACCGTGGACACGAGGTCCTTGTACATCCGCATACTGCTGTATGCATAGGTCGGCAGCAGTGTCACATAGGAGTTTAGATTGCCCCGCTTTTTTTTTTTGCACTGGGTATCGATCTCGCGAACGCTGTAGGCCACCGTCTGGAGTAGTGAAAGCAGGGACGAGTAGCTGTGGTGATCAGCTATCGTTTGGTGTGAAGAACGTATGGATGCTGGCTGCGTGCTACTTCTTTGGTCCAAAAGTGCAAGTAGTTTTTTGAGATTGCATGATGCGAAAAGGATCAGGCGTCTCTCTATAGCGGGGATACCTCCTACGCAGCGCCCCCCGCACAACCACCGGTCAGAGCAGACCTTTCACAACGCATCTCTGTAGCTCACACCGTCCAACATCGCCATCGAAAATCCCGACGCGTGCCTGTACATACACCCCAGTGGTGCTAGAGGTGGTTTCACGGCGCCGTTTGTCGGTGCGAGTGTGTAAACGCGCCCCGACGGCCGACCTATCCCAGAGCTTCAACCGGTGCAACCCCTGTGTACTTGACCGCGTGGCCGTATTGGGGAGGCCGGTTTGGACTGAGAACTACTGGTGATACAAGAAGGTTGTGGGCTTTCTATATACCCCCCGCCAGAACTCCGGTTGGAGGTCTGTTGATTGAGAAATTCAGAGATTTGCCCATGGCAAGTTTCATCTGTCACAGAGAGTGTGGGCCTGTTGCGGTGTCGCGTGGCGGCGGGATATTTGAACTTCTGCGTTCTTCGTAGAATTTCACGTGCTTCGCTTTCCATATCATATTTGGCGACACAGATCTTTATTGGGGAGGGTCGAATCGCGACCCCCCAAGTGGATGACAAGCTTTGGTATCACAAAAGTAGCAGCCATCATGCGTCTTCCTTGGTTGGCCCTGCTCTGTGGCGAGGTGCCCGGTCTCTTTCCGCGCAAGGGTGTCCTCCATTGTAAATTCCAGTCATTTTGTGGAAAGCTGTCAGGCGTTGCTAAATTTGGGTCTCGTGTACCCGACCAACAAGAATATGCGGCGTAATCTAAACTCCTGACACTGTAGGGTCCGTTGCAGAAGCAGTGCTTATGCTTTATGGCACACACGCCTTCGAGGCGTGTTTCTCTCAAAGATCACAGATCTCCCGAAGGAGGTAGTACTGTAGGTGCCTTTGACGATTTACACACGTCTCTAAAAAAGAAACGAAGGGAGGGCAAATCGAGTCCTACTTCCAAATACTGTTACGGGTGCTAATCCATAAAAAAGCTTATACTCCGAGTAGGTTTTTTTTTTCAAAATGTGCACGTGAAAATGTGTCCCGGATCTTCCCACATGGAAAAATGATCGAGCCAACCAAATCTCGAGAACCGGTCCTTGGGCCCCGCAGAAACTACATCATCACAGCCGGAGGAGAGAGCAGCGCACACAACATACACCTACAAGCGATAGATACAAATGGTGGCGAACGAATCCCATGGACACACGTGACGAGCGCGACGCCAGGAAAGCAGCCAGTTTGGGTGGTCCTTGGAGGTTGAGACTTGTGCTGTTGCTTCTGCTGCTGCTGCGATGGGTGTCAGATGTGACGAAAATATCCGTTGCATCCATCCAACTGAACGCGTTGTCTTCCATGACAAACATATGCTGCTGCTGGGAACAAAAGAGACAATGCTTGCCACTGCTTGCCACCACCGCCCCCCGACAAAGAAGGCCAGGACCTACTGGTACATGACCCTGCGGTTGGACGTCTGCGCTCGTAGCTCAAGCAAGCGAGATCGACACAAACAGCGATTGTTTCTGCCGCGAGCCCTTTGTCGAATGTTTGGCCTTTTCGGCTTTTTTTAACGATGTCTGCTGCGCATCATCTTTGCTCCACCACCTCCTGTTTTGCTCAACACACTCAGGGCGCTAGAAATACCACGAGCGGAAGGGCTTGTGCTTCGTGTACGCGCAGGGTTGTCTCTCCCCCCAGTATCCCAGCAGCAGCATCGGCGACCGCTGAGAAAAGGAGCAACCAGCCAGCTCAGTTGAAGAAAGCGAAACTTTTTCAGCAAGCACGCATCCGCTTCTCGCTTCCCTTTTTGGAGACATATCACACACGCCAATCTCCCGTTCAGCAGTCGCGCGAATCGCTGGGGAGCAGCAAATGCACGCCCAGCAGTCACCGCGTGGGGTGGTCGCGGCAGAAGAACCTTTAACACCCGCATGCCGAGTGCTGTTGTGTTGCCCTTGTCTACAAGAAAGTCCGTTTTTATTTTTTTCGCTCGCTCTTGCCCATCAGGAGGAACTTGCGCCAGATTTCGGGCGAAAAGTGGCCATTGTTGACGCACCAGTGCTCCATAACGGCGTGCGCGATTGACCTACTTCGTTCTGTGTTGGCGCCTCTGTATCCCAAGGTAGTGCACTGCAAACTCGCTTTTTGAAAACTCGCATCGCCTCCGATATCAGCAGGACAAACGTGTCGAAAAGTGCCAAAATCGAAGATTTTTCGCAATTATGTCGCCCTCTGTAAACGTAAGTAAAAAAAAGAGTTTGCAGTACACTTGACAACGCCTATGGCCAGGTGTATGCCAGATATCAAGATCCGCGGCGTCCCTGGGAGCAAGGACATCTCGTCCAAACATAAACATCAAGAGCGGTCTATTTTCAAGTAGTAGGGAAACGGCGTCGTCGGATGGACAAAGTTGATTCTTGTTTTCCGGGCGAACATTTTCGAACAGACCGGACGCATTTTTACGTGCATACAATTCCGATTAGCACCCCTAACTGTATGTGAAGCATAACGTTGTAGAGGGGTTTCCTGGGAATGTTGAATCTCGGTTCAATCCTTAGCAGTTTCACCAGATGCGTTGACCTGTGTATCGTGTATCAGATTTACGTAGCAACAAGACCTTCAGAGGTAGAGCATCGTTCCTGGCACCACTCCTGGACGTCACACATGTCAGATGACCGAACTTGGAGATGCCGCTGTTTGCGCTTGTTTGTTCGAGACAAACGCCGACCACGTCATCCCATGTTTCTCGACGTCTCGACGAAGGCAGACTCTTTCGAACCTACGCAGGACACTTTCGATGCTGTGCACACGGACAGTCCAAAACGTCCCCGGGCGCCAGCTCGAGTGCTGCATGTGGTTGTCGTTGCTGATGGTTGCGCGACTCATGGTCGAGGCCAGGAGAAAGTTGGCAAATATTTTGGCTTGATGCCTCACACACAACCATGCGAGGCAGAGCCTCCATCGCCCTTGATACTCACTTTAGTGCAATTGCGGCAAGGGGGTTGATGTGTGGCCAAATGTGTGCCTGCCTGTCTGTCTGTCCATCTACAGCAACAGTGTCAAGGCGTCGAATTTTGTACAGCTACGTGTATGTTTGATTTTCGGCCGCTGTTGGAGGCCATTTTAAGGCGTGACACCGTCTATCATCGCACCCGATATTCCCGCCCATCTAACCCATCCGGGCACGCCTACTGCTGTCGCGTCGCACAGCCTGAACCGAGCGCTTTGGAGAAGAAGATGCTTCGAAAACGCCAGCGCCAGGAGCTGAGCGATGCCATCGCGGGCGAGATGGACACGCACGGCGTGGTCGATGACGACAAGGAGGGAGACGGGGAAAGCAAAACGGCGTCTTTCAAAAAACAGAATAAGGAGAAAAGAACTGGACAGCAACAGGAGCGAAATTGCACACCGCCAGCACCAGCGGATCCTGCGGCCACTGCGGCGGAGGATACGAAGTCGAGAAATAAGAACGGCGCGGTGGAAGCAGACATTGGGAGTGGGGACGGAAATAGCGGCGGGAATGGTGCGGGTGACGCGGGTGGAGACGGCGAGAAGCCGGGTGGGAAACGAAAAGCCCGGCGAAAAAAGAAGTCTGCACAGCCGGAGGTCGCCACTGTGGAAGCAGACGCAGCTGCTGCTGCTGCCGCTGCTTCTGCTGCTGTAACCGCAGCGACGCCGGACAAAAAATCCGCAACCGTTGTGGAGGAAAATTCTCCGATGACGGCAGCAGAAGCTGAAGCAGGAGGTGGCGGGAAAGTTGCAGGAACAGCGGAGCCGGGAGAATCTAAGAAACAGCGACGGGGGTGGGGGAAGGCACGCTCCACGTCTGCGGGTGCTGCCGCCGACACCGCCGAAAATGTCAACCATGCCAAAGACGCGGGGGAAAGGAACGGGAGAACGGACGAGCACCGCCCGCGCAAGAAAACACGGTCACGGCAGAAGAACATCCGCAAGGATAAACGACCCGCGGACAAAAGACCAGCCTATCTTCGCGCCGGGGACCCCGAGTTCAGCGGGCGCGGCCTCACCGAAGAGACTCGGAAGTTTCTAGGCCTTCCGCAAGACGACTTCGGAGATGCACCACCGGCGGGGTGGGGGAAGCCCGGGAAAGTCGGGCCAACGGCTAGCTGGGTGATAGACAAGAAGCCAAGGAGATTGCCGAAGCACCTGGAACCGGATGCCGGCGATGAGGGGACGAATGCGGCGACGACGAGCGCGGCCGCTTACACTGATGCTGGGCGGAAATCGACACCTGCTGCTCCGGACGCTACTCCTTCTTCCACCGGCAAATCTAAGTACAAGAACCTGAGTTTGGCGCCCGGTGGCAAAACCAGCGCCAACGAGAAGAAGAGAGCTAAGGGCGGCCATGGTCGTGGCGGGACCGGCGGTGTGACAAGCAAGACATCAGAGAAGAACGACACCAATGGCCAAGACGGAGTTTGATTGGTTCCAATGGAAATGTTCGAGCCCGCATCCGCAGGCGTGTTTTGAGTATATGTGCCAGTCTGCTGCGGCAGGGGACGTGTCGGGAATCTACCGGCAGTTTTAGCATGTGATTACGCATCGTCTACAGTTTGCACGGTTTTTGAAGATTGAGCTGGGTGTATACCTTTGAAAAGATCATCTGCGTCTGCTAGAAGAACTCGTTTGTGGATCTTGCGTGGATTCTGTTTTTTTTCCAGGAACATCTACAAGTTTAACGAACACATCGAATGAAGTCATGGTTGAGTGGATTCTTCGATGACGTATATAGAACCTCTGTTTCCTTTTTGGACAACCCAGGGTGTACGGGGAGCGGCAGGTGTGGGTAATATTCGTTCTTGTCACCAGCACAAGCTTAGATACATGGTTTGCCGGTACTGATCGTTGCTGGAGCGTCGGTTCAGTACGTCCACCCTTCCCAAGCACTCTTCTTGCTGTAGACACACGGCTGTTTCGCGGGTGAGAGTGTGATGAGAAAAAACGGCAACAACCGTTCTCTCCGGAATCAGACGGAGGCGCATTTAACAATTTCTGAAAAGGTTATACTTTTAGCATGCCAGACACACCCAAACACCAGAAAGAATCTTCAGGCATCTCCAGCATTCCGTAACACTCCCAAGGAAAATACAAAGAAACTTCCCGTTCCTCCGTAGACTGTGTAGATGTTACCCAAGATATCATCCGTCACTATCCTACGAGTGTATCGAACTAGGGGGAACGATTAACCCCCCCCCCGCCAATGGGGCGGGTGGCCAGACTCTCGTCGCAGGACGGGGGAATGTCTAGACGGAGTCGATGTATATGTGGCGAGATAACGTGAGGAAGATGAAATTGTCGAATCACGCGGTTTCAATGTCGACGATCGATACGGCAAAACACGGTACCAAGAACGAAAAAAATGGTATGCATCGTCAAAGAAATAAACGAAAGACCGCGCCACAACCTGCGCCCTCAGCGCCATGCACTATCAACGAAAGTGTCCGCATTAGAGCCACGCAGACTTGTAGTCTAAGCAGTGAATGTTTGTCCCGCCACAAGACGTACACGGCAGCAAGAAGAAGAGTGTCCACAGGAAAATGCACAACAACCCGATCCTTAGAGAGAAACAGTGGTAAGCACCCTACGCAAACAACAGCAAGAAGGAAATACTGTATAAAACGCGGCGTAGATTCCACAACGAACAGCGAAGATCATAAAAGTCCAAGGGGGGAAAACAGCAAGAGAAGAAAAAACGACCGGAAGCACAAGACACAGAGGCAAAAAGAGGGAGAGAAAAGAAGGAAACCGAATAGTACCGCGACCGAGCACAACCTTCACGGTCCCAGACTGGTCCAGACAGGGTGAAACACATGATGCAAGCAAAAGGATAAAAGGTCTACCCAATAAGCAGGAGGAAGAGCGCAAAAAGCAGAATGTATGTCCCAACCGCAATGGAGCCTGAACGAAAAGCATATGCATAGTCGACAGAACGTAGGGACCCAGCCATTTGGTGGTAGGCACAGAAGGCGACAAAGGCACACAAGGCAACGAAGGCGAAAACAATAGAGAAAGTATAATAAAACGGAAGATCACAAGCAAGACACACGAAGCAGCACGCACAAAACTCGACGAAGGGGCAAAGAAAAAATGAACTGTAAGCAAGGCCTAGAAACAAAGACTCACAAACGTTTTTCGGTTTTAGTAGCAAATTAAAGAAGAAATTGAAGCACATGGTACCTCAATGGTCTTCCGACCAAGATTCCACGGCCCACATACATACGTCGATCCAACAAAGTCACACCATCCGAAAAACAAGGACAAGATGCAAGATCATGCGTCAATGAATGTACTACTGTAGAGGAGGCAACAAAAAAGTATTTCGTTTAAGACGAGGACAGAAGAGATACAACGAAACAATCAACGTACAAGAATAGTGATGACAAGGAAAGGAACACGGTTGGCAGGCAAACCCACCCGCGACGTGGGTCGGTCATTGGCTGGGGCTTCACCCCCCCAGTTGATCTCGCGCCGATCGACGCTTAATACGTCGGTGCTGGTGCCCGTGACATTATCATGACTGCATCCGTTATCTCCCTTTCTTCATGATCCACTATCTTTACTGTCAGCTCCGGTCCTCCGAACGTCATCTCTCCTACTATCCCGCGCTTCTGGAACTCTTTGGTCATGTCCAGCGGGAACGAGACTCGCCCGACCTCGAAACAGCCGTTTTCGTCCGCGAAACTCGGATTCCTCTCGGAAGTACAGTAGACGGCAAAGGACATGGAAGTTTGGGACTTCTTCAACGGACCGTACCTACGTCGCTTCAAGATGCCGCCCTCCGGGATATCGTCTCCCTTTCTGATGTAAATGCTGAAACCGTTGGATACATGTACCTTGCCGTCATGGTGGGAAACCAAGCCGGCCGCGCGGCGCCGCCGGTGCTCCGCGTTGCTGTCGTCGAAAGGAACGGCAAAGCCGGTCCCGTACGTGTATCTCGCCTTTCGTGAGTTAAAACTCGTCGACCGATCGAAGTACATGACGGCCCCTTTCACGATGGCGAGGTCTGGCTCGTGCACGTCCACCACACGACCCGCTGGTAGGTCGAGCCCATTCCGTATCACCTCCCGCAGCATGGGGCAGCGCGAAAACCCCCCTACGACGAAAACTCGGTGGAGGTCGTGCAGCTGTGACTCGCGCTTGATACGCCGAAGGCATTCAGCGATTTTCTGTAGAGTTGGGGTAAAGAACGAAGTCACCAGTGTCGTGGGCAGAGTGACGTTGAACTTCTCCCCCCCAACGAAAAGCGACGAGGGCTTTCCATCGTTGTAGCTCCTACGCAGGTTCTGAAAGATGTGGAAGGACGGTGATCATGAAGACGGGGGAAGTTAGCTTCTTCTGTAGAGATGTTTGATGTGGTCCCACACAACATCGATTAGGTTGTGATGCTTCCCCGGTGTCGTGGGGATCGTCGAACTCGAACTGATTCGATTTTTTCATAATGAACAAATGCTCAGAAACGATAATGGCCCCGCCATTATTTTCATCAGCTACAACGCGACAAACGCCCTGGTTCGTGCTTTCATTTGCCGGGAACCGTCACAGGTCTCCCGGGTACTTACTGACTTGGACCACCGGGGCGATCGGCGAGTTAAAGCACATACGAGAATACCTCGCAGATTCACTTCGGAACACGAATTCGTTCACCATATGCTCGGGTACTACTGGGAATGATACATATTTTGAATACCCGACAAGACAATCATTTTGTGCCGTTCAGTGGCCCGCGAAGAGTAGCGTGAAGTACAGTTTCTTGGTATCTCTGTTCCTAGAGAGAGACAGGCGCTTTCGATATTTTGGGCAACCCTCGCTACCCCGAGAAAAGTGTACCGATGGAGTGGAATGTTCTGATGGAGTTTGGCTCTCGAGGGAACGAACCACTTCATTGGTAAATATAAGCAAAATTGCATCATACCTCCATGTCTTGGTTGGTCACGTCGTATCCTGCAAGTTCTGAAAGGTTCAACCGCCACACCGCCGCCGAGTCGAGCCCTTGGAAGGTGGCCTTCTTTCTCTCCCAACTCATCATGATGGACAGGAGGGTCCTGGTTGTCTCGATTTCCTGGAATTTCTCGCCGAGGAATCCCTTCAGCCACACCCTGAATGCATTGTCCACGCGGGTTGATCCAAACAGGCCCCCGTCAGGTGCGGCCACCTCCTCCAGTGTCAGAGGCTCAACGGAAATGATTTTGTGCGCCGTGATGTCCACAGTACCCCCCCCGCAGTCGATAACCATCATATTCTTGCCCTCTGCATTGCTGGTCAAAGGGTTGTCTGTCGTAATGGCTGCTAGGCATGCGGCTTCTGGCTCCAGGCAAAGGCGGAGCCTAGTGGAGTTCATTCGGTCAATCATCCCGGCCTCGTACGCGGCCTGGCGCATAAATCGCTTGGCGAAGTCATCGTATATGGCCGGCACGGTCAGCACCCAGTTCACGCTGTTTACGTCAACCGTTCTGCCGCCAGTACGTGACAGAAACGCGAGGACGTCTTCCTTGAAGTAGCGAAGTGAAGCTGTCATGACACCAAGCAAGGGCACTGTGTGCTGCCCTCCTACAGACTCAGTCATGACACTGCCGACCTCGGTTTGGTCAGTTCTGGATTCGCAAAGATCGAACTTGAACCACCGGAACAAAGCTTGGTCAGCCACATGGTCGCTGGCGGCATAGTCTTCGATCGCTGCGGGGCCGAATGAGACTAAGCCTCCGCTGCCACGCCCCCCAATAAGAGCTGCTGTCTCTGTTTTGATGGTGGAGGATGGCGAAGTGTCTGCACTCGCGGGAATCTTGACCAAAATCTTGTTGTCCGCTTGACCACTGACTTGGTACGCCCAAGCACTCCGCGTAGTTCCGAAATCAATGGCCACAACGGTCTCAGGAACCGCCATCGGAACATGCCCCTGCACCGTGGCAGTCAAGGAGAGGGGGGCTAGAGAATTTATGCGATTGACCAGACAGACAGCACCCAGGTTCACCTTGGCCAAAGCTTGACATGGGGGGGCATGAAATTGATTGAACGTCAGGCTACGCACACCATTGGTTGACTTGCACTTTGCATGTGCTTTATGTTGGGAGTGTTATTCATTTTGGGTTTGCCGGGGTGTTGAGTCATTGTTGAGCAATACTTGCATGAACAACATAAAGAGCGTGCGTTCGTGATTTACTCAACGAAGACTCGCGAAACACATGTGGATGCTCAAGGTGACAAAAAACTTGTCACGTTTCAGAGATAGCATGGGAGGTCATGAGCGAATTCGAACGTCTTTATGGGTGGAGATTCGTTTTTTCTGGTATCGTTTGCCGGATTCTCATGACTTGTCGGCGCTCGACACGGTGTTGAACGCCTTCACCAGTCATTGCGAATAGTGCTGCCATGCCGGATATTGTACCACCATAGCGGACAGGTTAGGTCTTCAGCGACCGCGAATCTGCCCCACCACCCGGTCTTCCCGGGTAGGAGGAAGGCGAGAGAAGGCTGCGGAAGCTGCCGCTGCGAGTTGCGCGAGGTATGGGGCTCGTTGGTGTCGAAAGAGCCCCGAAAAAGGCATTGCGGGGAATCTTCACTGCACCAGTTCAACGGACGAGGTCACGCGAGAGAACCGCGCCGAACAGCGACATTGGGGTCTGGGTGGCTTGTGCGGTTCCCTCCAACCCTCAACCCGTTGTCTCGGGCCTGTTTCGTCCCGGCGCCTCTCAGTGTCCAAGTCGGCGCTATGCAATTTTTCATCAGCATCAGCGCCACCACCACAACCCACACCACCAGAGCCATCCGCTGATGAAAACAAGGACCGGACACGTTGGCCGGGTCGCCGATAAACGCATCCGCCTCGACGACTATCACCAACGCCAAAGGAGTGAAAGCGACATCGGCTGCCAGATCGCTTCCACTTGGCAAAGATACCAACGGAGACCTGCTCGGGGGCCGCCTAGCGGCCGAGGCCACGATGAAGCTGTCGACGGCCCGCGAACGGAGGGCATATGTCCACATTCGCGGGCGAACGAAAAAACAGCACAGGAATCGAGGGCGGGCGCAGGGTGCTCCCTTTCCTGTGAGCCCCTTGTCATGATCGAAACAGCGGCACACTACCGGTGCGTCGGTCCGTTTGCACGACATGCATACATCGGCTGGTGAAACATCGGCCGGTGAAACCTCGCTGGGTGAATAGTCGGTTAATATGAGCTGCCGGTGGCCCTTTATTTGCAACTGTTTGACCAAAGGAACGGCATGTTTACCCGTAGCAACATCACCCACCACCCTCGGACTCAGCAGGCATGCCTTCAAGCGCACGAGACGATTTGCCACGCAAGCCCCCACGCATCGTCAGGAGGTATTTAGTTCCCCTGCAATGGGGATTTCTACTGTGAGGGATTCTGATGCCATCGTTGGCTTCCCCCGTAGAGGACAACGAACAGTGCTGGCGTGAAACCAACGCTGACTCAAAACGCTCCCCCGGCGTTCACCGCAGCCGTAGCATTGAGTCGCCTTAGATCACGCCCGCGCCTTTATCGCTTCGCGGCGGGTTCGGCCTCTCACAGCTGTTTCTGTAACGGACGGCTCGAGATTGGAACTTGAATGGCAGATATCTACCACAACCATCGGTGGTTGAAGACTTTGTGTGTCTTTCAGGTTTGGGCTATTGTAACCGTTTCAACAAACAGCAACGATTTTTCACGCGAAAGAGACTGCTGTATTCCGTAGTCATCCATCCATGTACGGGTTTCCCCGCACATAACTGCGCTGCTTTAGGTTCTGGTGTGTGTGGTGTCGCAACTACCATTATCAACCGAGGCGTAACAGGAGATCCTTGGCTTTATGCCGCCAAGTCTGGCGGAGGGTGTTTTACAGAAAGCGCCCGCAAGGTTGAAACGTAAAATATGGGCCTGCAAGTTTGAAACGTGAGCCTCAATTCCTATTTTCGGCGGAAATACCAGCCATCGTTGCTGATTTTTTTATTCGCCGTTTCTTATAGTTTGGGCCTTGTAGGATGTAATTTGTTTCTTGTAACGTATCATTTCTGGCGCCCACGTTGCAGCCGTCACAGGTCCTCGTGTCAAATGAGGCAATGTGCCATGGGTTCATGCGTTTTCATTGCATATATGTATTTGGCCTTCGGAAAAAGACTGTCATCCTCTGACATCATTATCGTCACCACCCGGACAAACACCAGTTAACACACCCACGGGGCAAGGGGTGGACACCTGCAGAAAACGGCCGTTTCTTATTTATTATCCTCTCTCTTGCACCTCGTTTCTTCATGGTTTGGGGCTGCCCTGCACTCAGTTGCTTATTTTAGGTGTTTCACAATTGGTGACCCAACATTGAGGTGTGTTTCTTAGCCGATTTTCATATTTTCCACGAAAGTCTGAGCTTGATTATCTTACGTACTTTCTGGCGCTTTCTGTATGTTCGCTGGCCGGTGGCCGAGGGTATTATTGACTCGACTGATCTGCGCTTGGAAACACCATCACCGGGTGTGGGTGTATCTTTGGTGCGATATCTTGTGTGTTTTACGGTAGTAGCAACCGAAAAAGGCTGAACATCTCGTGAGTACGAACATACAGACAGGGAATCGGGAAGCTGAACCCTTGTCAAGACATAGCAGGCACGCAGCTCCTAAGAAGGAACTGAGAAAAACAACACAAGGGAATGGACAAAATCGGGTGTACCCGGCTCTTCTCAGACAAAAACGGTGTAGGCAGCCCATTGTCACCGCAGCCTCCTACACGGTGTTCGTCCGAGCATGGATAGATATTGATCTTGGATGCGACATTTCATGTAGTTCCGCAGACAGGACTATAGGTAGAACCTTGGGTAACATTTGGTGATTATCAGGGTTCCCAGGAGCGTGGTCTCTCGGGACTTCCTTTCCGCGTCCTCTGATTTTTTGCGTTTCATCGAATCAAAAGTGATCAACCACAGCCCTACACCGAGTATATTCAAAGCGCATACGAACATACTGAAGCCAAACCCCCGTTCGAAACACGGTTCTGACGTGTGGGTGACGAGTCCACGGCCTAGGCAGCATGAGCATCGCCGTTTTCGAATTTCCGAGCACGACTACTATGCCCCGAAAAGCACCGCGGCGCGCAAGGCCTAAAAAAACACTAGCTTATGTCCGGAAGCCTGCGGGCGCACACCCTTCATTCTACAGTACTTTCGTTATCATACACCCGATGTTGGTCTTGACCTACACTCACTGTCCGAAAAGCACGTGGTTTCTACCCGATCTCAAAACCTCCGAAACCGCGCCACATATCATCCACGGTACACCGAACCAGACCCCCTCGGAGGTTTCGTAGGTACAGAGTTGCACTTGAATAATTTGAATTTCCACTCTGATGTCGGATTTCCTATCTGCTGTCGGTCGTAAGAGTGCATGCAGTCGCGTCATGTTTCGCTTGCCTCTCGGCCTATCACCCCGGCTCTACACCGCTGCGTGTGCGTGTTCTCGGTGCGCATTCACGACTTGCACTTTATGCTCTAGACTGCCGCTTTACATCTGCTGGTCTAGAAAGGAAGAAACATATACGATTTCGGTGCGCGTTTCATTGCAGATAAAATACACCGGAAATTAATCTCCCCCCAGGACGCCGTCTACGGCGCCTGTGCCACCGGCTTCGCCGACGAACGAGGACACGGCAGTCCTCGTCCCCATCGACGAAGACGGCGACATCCTACCCGTCTGGCGCAAACTGGGTACACTCGCCACCAGCGAGCCTGGGGTTGATGCTGGTTTGGGGGGGGGGGGGGGGCGACCCTTGGCGGACATGGCCATCGACGCCATCCTTGGATGTGGTGCCCTCGTCGCCAGCTATGAGCCCATTGTGGGCCAGCCGGACTATGAGGAGGCCCTCAAGGCGGGGAAGGAGGTCGAGGCAGTCGGCCACATTGTGGACTCGGAGATTGCGTTTCGAAAGGCGCTGGCGAGGGAGGGGATTGCCAAATGCCTCGTTTGTTTGGCTCTCTCGGCTGGTCTACTGAAGCGCGGCGGCGGCTACGTTTCCTTCCGTCCATGTTCGACGTTGCGAAGGCGAAGGGCCGCCCGCTTCCGGAGCCCCTCCCGAAGCCGGCGACAACCCCGGCACCGTTGGATCCGGTGGTGCAGCTTTATCTCACGAACGCGGCGGAGGCCCAGCAGCAAACGCGGGTGGAGGTGAACCAAACCCCACCACCACTGGCCCTCACCCTCGCAATGCTCTTCGCGCACATGTGCACTAGAGCGAAGCTCACTAGTTCCAAGAAGAATATGGAGAGAGCAAGGGACGTAGCGCAATACTCTCGATCGGATGCTGCTTGTCTCGCTGCGCTTTGGGACCTCTCCGCTCGCTGAGGCCCAAAAAACTGTCTTTGAATACACACGTCTCTCGTTCTCCCACGGGACTGACTGACTGCTGTGTGACTCCTCCTTTAACCACATCGAAACGAGACAACCACAACGCTCCGGGGCTTCTAATCTCGGGAGCTCTATCAATGTGTCACTGGGAGTGTAGAGAAGGATGGCTACATTTCGTGGGCAGCTGCTTGCGGAGAACTCACTTCTGTGCGTTCGTATGTTTGTTGTGTGTCTTGCAACAGCCAGAAAGCGAAGCAGGGAGTACACAACGAAACACGATGGAAAATAGCGACGAAGACAAAGAAGTTTGGATAAAATATAGGACCACCTTCCCGAGGCAGAAGGACTCATCTAACCCAATAATTTTATGAAGTGATCAGAATACGGGAAAATGATACGAGTGATTCAGAGCGACGCAGATAGGGCTGAAGCCAGCACGGCTATAGCCAACACCACGGAACCCCTACAACTGGAAAACAGAGACCTGACGACCAATGTCCTCTACAAACGAAAAAAAATAAAAGAGGAATACCATTCAAGACCATCCCGCCCGC